TTCTGTGATATACAAATCACCAAGCGTTTAAAAATTCTATTCTAGAGATATTTAATTGGTAATTGTATTGGGGAAAGAAGGAAGTTTTGCAACTATTTGCATAAAATCACATTCGGCGACTACTATATCACGAGTTTAACTTTTTCAGTTTGCGCAAGTCACTCAGTTTTATGTATAATTGATGATTTATTTGCGCTAAATCATTCTGAATTTCGTTATTCTGTCTGTAGTTTATATACCTAAAAGATGAATAGCCAAACTCGGCTGAAATAGAAAACTTCCTTTGTACACGTTTGATATGAATCATAACGCTGCGAAAGCAGCAAGAAATATTTGTGATATGAAAAGGAAGGGGAACGTAAACAAATGATTTAAAAACTCTTGCTGAGGTAGTAGGAACCTTTACTATCAGCTTTGGTCTAGTAGGCTAAGAACCGTAAGGCGTTATGCCCTGCCCCAAGCCCCTAGATGCAAATACAGCTCGCAGTCAGAAATTGTCAAGCGAGATGGATATAAACAGAATATATTATGGGTTTCTTTTCTTACTTTTGAGTCTGCAGTGCTAAGGTTTAAACAGAGAGGTTTAATTTTCTTTAGTCAGTAAGTTTATGGCCTTGCGAGATTAGGAACAGGAACTGTTGCATTATGCCCCACGAAATGACGCTACACCAAGAAAACCGCTGATACCGTATGCAAGAAACTCCTAGAAGACCCTATCATATTCCCATTTCATTGAAAGAATTGTTACATGAAATAAGAAGCAACTTAACTTGCAAAAAATTTTCATAACTCAACAGGCAAATGCAATGGTTAGAAAGCTTGAAGACAAACTCAGAATTTCGAACTCAATTTTTCTTTAATTTCTTCAATGTTTGGATTTGATTCATAATTATTCAGAAAGCCCATAAAATATATGTTTGCTCGCCTTAGGCAAGATGATGTCAACTATTTATCTTCAGTTTAAATTAAAAGCATAAAAAGTAATGTACCTGAATATACTTAATATTATTTTAGGATTCGGGCATAGCTACCTCTTTCAAGCAAAAACTGGTAGAACTTTTATAAGCTTTAGAAATGAGTCCAACGTTTATTGCTGTTGAGACTTAGTGAGTCAGATTCTACTCATTTCACTGGCCATGATAACAACGATCTATACTAGTAATTTTAAAAAGAATATAGGAAAAAGTATATTTAAACTTAGCTGATTCTTCTTCCGCATATTTATAACCATTGCTTGGCTTTAAATTAGTATTTTAATCTGACAACATTGCGGAGAGGATTGTAAGCAAGTTAATTTTTTTAAATTTATCAGTTTGTACACAATCCATGTTTAACAAACCTAACGATCCGTACTTATATTCGAAAGCAAAATTCGACCATAAATTTATTTTAATTACTGATTTTAATGAATGTTTTTTGAGCGAAAATACTACGCAGGATCTTTGCTCTAATTAAATTTAGTTCCAGACTGAGTCTCAAAGTGAAGAGAGAGAATTTGATTAAAATCAGTATCAACCTATTATCGAATTTTGCCACTTTTAAAGCTGCTGCTTTCCACTTCCATCCATTGCCTTTTGGTTTCAAAGTAAGAACCTAAAATTCATTGCTGAGTTTACAGTTTCAAATTTTCATGTTTTAATTCAATTGATTCTAAAATCCAGTAAACGTTTATTGCTGTTGAGGTGTTGTACAGAAAAGGTTCATTGCTGTATAATTGTTATCCACTAAAAGTTACTGGAAGTATTGTAGTTTCTTTCATATTTTAAACTTTCTTAAGTACTTTCTGATTATTCTCCGTCCAATTCTAACATTTGGTAGAACTGCCGTATTTTGGGCTTATTTTTTAGAATACATACACGCCTATTTTTTTGGCATATTTTAGTGTACATGTATAACACGCTTTACATTTAGCTATTATTTTACTAACTATTAGACAACGGCTGTAAAAATGTAAATATCCGCCTTATAAATTTCTGATTTACTTCATGAAATTATTTTTTATGAAATGTGTCTTTTTGTAATAACTTTTTAACAGAACAGTACTTGTGAGTCGTAAAGTTAGTCAAACAAGCATTTTTCGCCAATTCACAAAGCTGCCAATGAGTTGACGATTTTTTTGTGGGAGTGCGGTTAATCAGAAAGTACCCTTTTTTGTACTGGTTAGCGGTGCAATTTCTCTGACTTTGGCTGAGAGTTTTACTAAAATGTCCCACCACTTATGATCCTATGCAAGCGCATTTCCCTACCATGAAATCTGATGCGTCTGCAGCTATCTCTAATTTTCCTTTCGGGTCAAGAAATTTCAAGACCGGAGTGCAAACAATGCAGTTTTTGAACAGCTGTGTTTGCTTCCGTTGACCAACAAACTTTGTCTTTTAATTTCTAAGTTTAACATGAACCAAGAAATTTTTGTTCCTCAGTGGATGTTCAGTAATTTGGTAACAAGCCCCAAAACGGCATTAGTTTCTGTACCGTATTTAACGGCGGGTAAATATTAATTGCAAATATTTTGGATATGTTTGTTTCAGTCCCTCGATGTGACATTTTGCACCCAACCGAGTAATGGAGTTCTTTCGTCGCCAATTTGCATTTGGGATCTTACATTTTTAAATCCGCTTCTCTGAGAAGAGTAAAAACTTCTCGCAGATCCTCAGTGGGCTTATCAGTTCTGTTAATAGTGGCTATTACGTCATCTGGTAGATATATAAATGTTGATCTGCGCAGTACGGGTCCTATATGTCCATGACTTTATGAAACCCAGCCGGAGCATAGCATAAAAGAAATGGGGACCTAAGGATAAACAGGATATTTCGTTATGATATTTGGCTTAATATCATAAATACAGTTATTTGACTATAATAGGCAGCCAAACGCCCCGATTTATTGTCTGTGGGAGATAAAGTATTCTTTTCTGACAGAAAAGTACTGGGCTAGCGTGGTAACTGTAATGTAGGAATCATATTATCTTTAATCATATCTTTAATGTGTTTCTCGATTTCTCCCTTCCTTAACTTTATCACACAGGTAGGTGTTTTGCTCTTTACGGGATATTATTCACTGTATCTATCTCATATGTAATTACAAGTGTTTACCATAAGGTTTCATGGAACAACCTGAAAAGGCGTTCATCAATTTCTGAACGATTCCGTTTCCTCCGGTGGTAGGTTTTGCAGATAGAGGGCTGGTGGTGATGTTTCTTTTTAATTCATTCTGCTCATCTCGAGCTGCACAATATGCGCATAAAGGTCAATACACGCCGCTACTGACCACTGATTTTAGATCTACTGACCCCTTCGAATGTTCAATATCACATTTACCTACAAATTTCTAACTGCATATTATAAAATACCGCTGATTGCTGATTATGGCTGCTGAAAAACTGACAAATTCACAGCTTCTTACGGGATTTAACGAAATATGAAAATTAACTTAAAACTTAATAAAGATGCAATTTACTAGCCAAAAGTTTGCAAAAACTTTTGTCTCTGGCCGACTAATCACGCGAACACACACGGCTAGCAAAAGCTAAAGTCTGTTTAATTAAATTTAAGATATGTGTGAAAAACGCATCGGAGAAGATCAGTGGTGGTTACTAAAATCCCTTCCTTAACTTCAAGCTATCTGTACTTAACATACGTCAACTAATTGCATCCTGGTGGAAGTCGTCGAAAGTAGAAGTGACTGTAAAAATAAAATAATAAAACAAAGGATTAGTAAGCATAAAATCCTGCACTGTTCTATACAATTTTAGCTGCAAAATATTACAAAACGTAACAAAAAAAAACAGATAACTTATCGCCTCGTCTTACTTACAAAGTACAGAGTGTTGATAATCACCGAATAACAAAATTAAATTGAATCGGCATACCTGCGGCATTTAGGGATCAGTAAATTCACATTGTGAATTTACTGATCCCTAAATTGATATTGAACGAGGTTGTTGTGTAAAGAAATTGTACGTTTGATGTGCACTAACGCATAACAAAATGATTGGTTTCCTTTTTTTTTATCGGAGTCATGAATAAATTCGGACTTTTGCTTCGATATGCTGAGATTGTTTGCTGTACTGCATTTAGAAGAAATTCGCCGAACGTTTGTTTCCGACAAGATAAGGTCTTTATCATTGACAAGATAAGGTCTCATAAAACATTCCCAAATTGTTGGGTTGGTAGAGGTGAACCATCTCCGAATCTTAGACCGTTAGATTTCTTTTTTGGGGGGACATTTGAAGAACCGAGTTAATGGTGCAGAGATTCGCAGCACGAAAGAAGAATTAAAAGATGGAATCACCAGAGGAACTGTTACTCTGCAGTTTCTTGCTAACATCTGAACGGAAATCGATAAGAGACTTGATATTCTACGAGTACTAACGATGCTCATGTTGAAGTGTATTAATATAAAATGCTTTGAAGTGCTAGATAAAATTCAATCATTCTTTTTTCTCTATTCATGTATGCCTTAAAACATATTCGGTCAATAAATTATTGATATCATGTACTATAAATGCAAGTAAACGCATCACCCTTACAGGTACGCAAAACTTAAAACAGTAAAACAAAATCTAATATCTGCAAAGTGCGGAAAATTCAGAAAAAATATTCAAGTTAAAATATTTACTAAAGGTTTTGCACTCCTAATCAAACTTTGGCTCAGGCTTCAGTATTTCCACGAAACTTTTACAATTAGCAATGCCAATAGCTGTGTTTAGTGAAAAATAATAGCAAATGCAATGTGATACAGCATGGAACATTTCTATGTTTATATTTGAAAAATGAAAATTAAAAACTATGATATTCTTTGCATGGATTTTATATTTACAAAAATAAATAAACAATCATATGTAGTAAAATGCTTAATATAATTTAAAAAATTACAGAACATTAATTTAGATGAATGGAATGTCCGATTCTAATTTTTTTATACAAGTATAAAAGAAATGAAACTCCTAAGCAATGAAGTTATTTTCTGTCAGTGAATTGATAAAAAAATTTTCTTTTCAGCTTGTTTAAGAAAACAATTCTCCAGAACTAATTCAAGGATGTCTAGCATAGTACATTTCAGCGCTTTCTTCTTCATCATAATCAGCTGGATTGTAACTTGTCAAGGGAAGGAAAAACCTAACTGCCAGTAAGTATTCTTTCCATTATTAATGATAACACATTTCAAAGGTTCAAATACCTTTAGTACAGAAAATAGTATTTCCATATTTGTTTGGGAAAAAATAATCTGTAAGACACAGTATAGTTTTTCATCACAAACTTTAGTATTTTATTTTACTAAAGGACTATTATACAAAATTTGAAGTCTTTAGCAACTTTAATAACACATTTTAGAAAACATGTAGCTAAGTTTTTACGTTTTAGAAAACACGCAGGAGTAGTTTTCAAATGAAAATTACTTACAGAATAATAAAGTATTTTTAGTATAAGTTATCTGTATCGGTAACACTATAACATAATAGCAACTACGGGTTTTTTCATCAAATCCTAAAAGCTCATGTAAAATAAGATATCAAAACGCATTAAAATTAGATATCTCTACTATTTTTTGAAGATATGATATGGAATTTCTCATCAATTTCTGAGGAAAGAAAAAAGTCCTGGTAATCTTTGGAACACAATACTATGGAAATATGGAAGTTCAAATATCTGAAGAACTTAAAACAAAATGCTGCAAATTAATTAAAATAATATTTAAAAAGTATCCACAGCTTTTATAGAAATTTGATGGAACACTACACTATATAAATGACAAATCCTCAAATAAATCAAGAAACGATAGAGTGCTTTGTTGTTAGAAATGCTTATGATACTGCACATTCCAATATTTTTAAATAAACGTTGTCTAAATTTGAATCATATATAATGTAAGAGAAGTGGCAAAGTCCAGAAAATGCCATATTTCATCATCATATTGAAATGATGGCTTAACACTAAATATTTCGTTCTCTTTCAGAGAGTCGCCAATGCTTTTATCAAACTAGCATTTGAATATCAGTGATTCTGGTAAGCTAATTATACGAGAACATTCTGTACACTTGCCAAATTATTTGGGAAGAGTTACAACATTTCTATGTTGCAATTTCTGCAGTGTGTACGTAAAGTGAACATGAGATCAGATTACAATGATATTCAACAAGTCGTTGGGTAACTATCCAATTTCCGGCTTTTGCAACTTAATAATACCATCTTAGACTTCTCAGAGTTTGCGATAGGGTATTTGTTTGTCGTTAAACGAGTGTAAAACTATCTGGTAGAGTTACCGACATTTTGTTGTGCTAATTTCAGCGCATAACTTTATGAGCTATTATTAACATCTTAATTCTCACTAGGGAAAACATGCATACGGAATCCTAAATGAAGTTGGAGAAATGAAGGAGAAAAAATAAAAACTAGACCCGAGCTTCGTGCATAAAATGAAGTCTGTATCAATAAAAAATCTTTTCTGAATCGATTTTAAATCCATTTTACAATCCTTTTTGACAAAAACAGTCTTTTATTCTGTCCGTAAGTACAGATGTCAACCAGAAATGGTGGAATGTTTTCGAGAGCGCTTGAAATATGATACCCTAAATGTTTCGCGATTACAATAATTCCTTTAATTAAGTAAAAAGTGTTTGGCTAAGTCTAGTAGTCATGTATAAATTTAGAGATACACCTTTGTAGCTAAAGTTGTATGACAGAGGGAAGAAAAAAAAGTGCATTTGTTTTGGTACTTTGTGTCAAGCCGATTTTATCACAGACTATAAAATAATATTATTAACGTACGTACAGACGTCAAGCAAAAGCAAAGTTAAAATGGTTTTTCTTTCAAATATGATCCCTGAAATTTTTTGTGATTATAATACTTCCTTTTCTTCGTAGAAGGAAGTGAAAAAGTGTTTAGCTAAGGCTAATAGTCATGTATAAATTAAAGAAGACACTTTAAAGGTAAAATTGTTGTACGAGGCAAGAGAGAAGAAAAAGGTGCCTTTTATTAATACGTTGTGCTAAGCGGATGTTATCATCTATATATATATAAAACGAAAGTATGTCTGTCTGTGTGCGTCTTTCGTTCGTGCTGCGCGTAAACTAATAGACCCAGGGTACGAAATTTGGTACATAGGTGCATCTAGACAAGAGAAAGTGCACTACGAAGCGATTTGTTTTCAAAATACGTATGAGATTTGTTTTTAGTTTATATTTTTTTTGATAAAATCACATCAAATCAATAATTCTCTCGCATAATATCAGCAACAATGGCTGCGCGCCATTGTTGTTAATATCAGCCATTATTACTAATATCAGCAATAATGGCTGATATATTGTATCAATGTTGCCATTTTTGCTAATATCAGCACTGTTGCCACTCGGAAAAATAAGGGCGGTTATGTACACCTTTTAAATTAAATGTTTCTCTTGGATACTGGACGTTTATCGAGAGAAGGTAACGAGAAGTTGGTTAATTTATTTATTAATTACGTGATATTGCTTTGCTTATTTTATTGTAATTTTTTATATTAGTACATTTTTATTGATTTTTTTTTGATAAAATTGTTCTGCAGTATAAAATTCTGTGCAGTTTGGTATTCCCTTTAAGCATTTTTCCAGTACATTTAAAAGCCAGACGAAGGCTGCCCGCTTACCGGCTAATAGAATATAAAATAACATTATTAAGCCTGCAGAAGAAAAACATATTAATCTGGTATTTGATATTTAAAATGGCACTAGTTTCTTAAAATATAGATGAATGCGCAAAATGAAAATAAGGAATTGCATTCTTGAAATTATTCTTATGCGGCGGTACCGGAAAGAATGTTCACGATAAAGTTACTAATTTTCTGTAAATTATGCTTAGTATGAAGAACGTAAGAACTGCTTTAGTTCATTGTCTTATTACAATTATGTGAATTCTTTTTTCTATTACCAAATTGGAATTTCTAACAAATTTAAATAAATACATTTTTATTTAAAGTCTGCCTTGCAGTTTCAATTTAGAATTCAAATGTAATTTAGAACGACAGCTTTTATATACTTTTTCTATATAGCTCAAGCACAACGGAAGAATTACTTTGTTGACATAGTTCTCGAAATTTTGCAATTATAATAAGCATTTTAAATTAAAGAAGAGGCTAGAAGTTTTTTAATTTTAATCGAATTTTAGTTTTCTAATAATATGAAATCAGTTATTCCTGTATTTAATTGTGCTAGCTAATCATTATAAAACAAATTCAGAATGAAACGCTCTTTTGTCTAGAATGATTTAAAATATATCAAATATTTAAAAACAACTGAATAAATAATGAAACTGAAAAATATTTTTGTTCTTTTTTATTAAAGGCCTCAAGAAATGTGATATTTAAATTTTGCAAATTTTTCTCGGTATCAAAGAAAGTAAATTTGAAGTAATTTTAACTTGCATTTTTTTTCACTCAAAAACTTTTATTTATTTTACTAACAATTTGTTTATTCTTGCTTTTACCTGCAAAATGTAATCGGTGTATGGCATTCAATTTGAAGATTGGTGATGAGATGTTCATAAACTCTTCTATCACAAAACACAAGATCCGTGTGCGCCTAAAGCCTAAAATTGTCCCGCTTTAATGCCCTTTTTCTTCATTAGTTTCTTTCACTTATATTGAATAAAGAAAGAAGAATTAAGAAAATTAAAGAAAAATTTCTTTGAACTTCTTCAGATGCTCTTCATCTATGAACTCTGGTTGACGAAGAAATGTTTTGCTACAAGTTATGGCAATATAAAGCCGTGGAAAAATCAGTCCTTTTATTTTTAATACTGAAACGTTTTCATTAACAAAGATAATAAAATCTTTTTATAGACTTTCTTGATATTACCTCTACATGGTAGACAAAATGAGAATCATAAACAGTCACATTAATTATGACAACAATAAACTAGTTTCGTTATGAGTGGATATGAATCTTCTTTGCGAATAGGGGTATTGAAAAATCTTTTGTTTCTTTTCTGGGAATCGAAATTATGGTATTTATCTCCTAGCAGGATGAGCTGAACACTGCACCATAGGACAAGGACTCGTGAGAAATATGCTTTTAATTTCTTTCCATCAAAGTACTGAAACTGTTGTAGAGTCATTAGGTTATTTCGAAGCAGGAGCCATGAAAAATAAGCAATGTCCTCGCCGGGACTCGAACCTTGGACATCTCGATTACGTGCCGAGCGTGCTGAACGTTACACCACAAAGGTAGGAGAAGTACCTTATACTATTAGTTAAGCCTTATTCCCTTTCTGAAGCATAGTAATCAAAATATCCACGAAAATTATTTTATTGATTAAGGAATTATTTTTGGGATTAAGTTTTATTTACTTTTGCTAGCAGAAAACCATTACATTTTAAGCAGTCTTAAATCTATTCTTAACTAAACACTGCTATTTCAATTTCTTTCGGAGAATTATCGTCGTAAGAAGTAAACTGGTTTGTACAGGTATTTCATATTCCTTCTCAAACATAATTCATTTAAAATATTTATTATTACAACTTGTAAAGTTTATCCTAAGTTTTTAACAAGTTATTTTTAGTTAAAGCTATTTTCCTGTGCATACTAATTCCAGCTTACAGTTTCCTACCAGAATATGGTTTTAGAATCGCATTTAATGCAAAAGAGTAAAAGTAGTTAGTATTTAAGTCGAAGTTCTAGTGACTTCGAGAGGGAGCATCAGAGTTTTTGACTAGCGCGCGTTTGTCTTTTGGCTGACACTCTCTGAGCCCAAGTGGAGGCGTTGTTGTACGCCCTGAGATAGGGACTATCTGTTAAACTCTTATTTTGAGAAATAAAGGGTAATTAACCCTTCTCGAGTTTACGTCTCTGTTTCTGAACTAATTTTTCGCTTAGTTGTTCATTAGATTCCTCCTATTTAGTTGTTAGATAAAAGGGTGGAACCTCACAAACTCATAATCTTTGCAGACTTAAAAACTACTAAAGCTCAACAAAATATTTAAATTAGATAAGGTTCTAATATAAATATGTGGAATCTTTAGTTCTTAATTAGGCTAGCTTTCATCAGCTAAACTAAATCACTTATGGAAACTACCAAAAATTACTCAGTAGTATAGCTAATACGTGATAACGTAGAGACTCAGTAGTTACATGCTGTCAGTTCAAGCTATCTAAATAACAGATACATGCGCTGCTTGAATTAAACCTAATCTACATTATAATGAAAACTGACGGGGGAAAAAGATAGAAAAGAAGTAGCATAAAGTAACTGCTTACTTAAATAAAACTTTAAATATGTAAGCATTATATCAGTATGTTTTGGTTGACGTTAAAGAAAATTAGCTAAGTTGAAAAGAAATCATCATCCAAAGAAACAACATACTATTGAGAGTGTTTATACATTTTTAGAAAGACTTTGGAAGCATTTAATAAGGTTTTAAATGCAAAGAATCTTTTTTTTAAATGTTAAGCCTGATTGTTTGTTTTCTGGACTATAAGTTAACGTAGTGATTTCTGTGATTGAAAAGCTTTTTGTAACATTTCGAAGCGTATTAATTTCGTCTCCTCTTCTGATACTTTTCAGGGTCCACCCATTGAGATGGTTTTGCGCTTAGAAACAGCTCTAGCTCATAATAGTCCGTATGTGAAAATTTAGAGGACTCGCAGGAATACGTTGAAAACATATATTTTCAATGACTCTATCAGTCTTCATTTTATCGAAGAACGCAGTGTGGTAATTTTCGAAGTATGACTTGTTGCTTTGTCTTGAAGAAGTTTCACCCATTAAAGGTCATTGGGATAAAGAAATGGAATTTGTTTCTGTAAATATTGAATATAAAATTTCTTTTGATAGTATATTGAGTTGATCTAAACATTTTTTTTCACCATTCTTATCTTTAAATTCCCACTATAAGAGAATCCTGTGATAATTATACATACCTTAATGAAACATTCTTTGCATTGACGAAACCACATTTATCAATTTTTTATCTCTTCGTTTTCTGTAATAAATAGACCGTTTTTGTTGCATTCATTTAGGTAAATCTATGCTTCATCAAAGGTCAGAAAATGTACAGGTCTAGCATAAATAATTCATTCGTTTTGAAAAGGCTATGTTTTCAAAAGTATTTCACGTACACACATGAAAGATACATGAAAAGCACCACAAACTCACCACGTTTATACATCCTTTGGAAATATTCAGTATGTGCCCCTTCGGTGACAGGCACACGTTCAGACGATAATCGAGCTCATTCTACGCATTTTTGCAGCATTCGTCCTGCCAATTGACCAGGTAGCTGTTCGCAGTACTATAAAAAAACTGTGTGGAAGATATTGCATCAACGATTGCATTTCAAACCGTACTATATGTACCTGCAACAATTAAAGCCGGAAGATTACGCCCGTTGACTAGATTTTTGCGTCAACATGCAGGAAACATTGGAGGACGAAGATTTCTTCACCAACATAATATTCAGCGATGAAGTAACGTTCCACTTATCCGGGAAACTTGGTGAAATAGTGAACAAACTTTGGTGAGTTTGTGGGTTTCTTTTATGTATTTTTCATGTGTGTACGCGTAATACTTTTGAAAATAATAGCCTTTTCAAAGTTAATGAATCATTTATGCTAGCCCTGTATTTCCATTTCACGATAAATAGGTTTCATCCAAGGTTTTACAAATTGTTCTGCATTGAGCAACATGCATTGGCAAAAGATGGTGAACATTATGTTTTTTAGTTTTTTTAAGTTGTAAATGTTGGTTAATTATTTTATTTATTGTTGCTAAGATGTAAATACATCTGTAGCAACAATAAATATATAAAAGTAATAAATAAAAGTAAATAAGACTTTAAATAAACAGCAATAAATGAGACTTTAAATAAATAACAGTAAATAAGACTTACAGCTGTAGCAACAATAAATAAATAACAATATATAAGACAATAACAATAAATAAAAACTTTGCATCGTCGGATTTTCTTTTGTTACTAGATTGTAAGCATCTCTATATATTTCTATTGTTACTAATCGATTTTCTATTGATTTTCAATTGTTGATTTAATTTTAGGAACATTAGAAAGAGTGTTTACCTTTTTCCTTCGTTTGTAGTCTTCGTTCCACGTAGAAGTAATAGCTAGAGAAATTTTTTTTTCAACAATGTTGCTTATTTTGCCCTTAACTAGTTTAATACCACGAATTTCACAAAGTTTTTGAAATTATGGATACTAACATTTCTATTCGGAAAGAGTAAAGATATACTATTCAATCCGCAGCTGCTTTACGTATGATGTTTTGAAAACAAAAATAAAGTTAAAAGTTTCAAACGATATTTCTCATCTTAAAAGTAACCTGTTGCTAGAAATTAGCTTTCAAAGCATTTGCTTTTCTTAGAGTTCTTTACCGAAATCGTGCTAAAAATGTGTAAAAACCCTCTGTATAACGATCATAGTGATTATTCCATTAAAACGGTCGATCCGCAACGCAATAAGATTAAATTCTTTTTCATTATAGCTTATAATCTTTACAATGCCTTTTTCTGCAAGACGCGAAAGGTTATTAATAATGAAGATCAATTATATTTAAAATAATTAATGAACTGGTAAGTTGATCGATTGACTCCAGAATCATGACTGATTATTTTGTCAATATCTTGGGATAGAATCCTGAATAAATAAATTATAATATATAAGACAATAAGAATCTTCTTGCGAGTGGCCAAGTGCTGTACCAAATGAACTTTCGGGAGGCATTAATGAGCCACAACTCATTTCTGCTCAACCATAGGACTCATGTAATTTAACTTTAACTGATTCAGCTTTGAAGTGACCGACGTCCCTGTTAACGTTATATTCATCAATAAATTTTTGATATAATAATTTGAAAAGAGAGAATCTTAAAAATTTAAAACTACGTAAATATCAACTTTGTGTCAAATATAAACCCTTGCCTTTTTAGTCCTGAGATTAATGACATTTAAATTCTAATTATTTTCTGTTTCATGATTTCTTTTAAATAAAATAAAATATTTGGAACGAATTATGTATCTTGTCTTAGAAAAATTTTCTAACTTAAAAATTAAAATTACAAATATTCGATCACTCAGAATACATAACCAATAAAGTAAACATATTTTTAATAAATAATAAGTCAAACAATATCAAAAACGGAGCCAACGGCTCAATTATGAACACTTTTTCCAATTGATATTCGATATTTAATTAACACAACCTTTCTCGTGTACGAATTTATTCTTTTCGTTTTCAAAATTTCAAATCTTACATTTCAACTGTCAGGCATCGAAAGTTAATAGAAATAAAGAAACAAAGCAATTGCGTGAGCCATCTAAAATTAACTTCATAATATTGAAAGATTAGCTAGTTGAAATCTGCATGTCTTCGAGGAAAATAATGTTTTCTTTTATTTAAATTATTAATCTATACTTTTTTCGAAATTCATGTTTTTTAAAACGAACTGCGTCTAATGTTGTATAAAAAGCTGTCTGTATAACTTATTTAGTCATTGATTGAAAAAAAGCTTTTCATCATAATAAGTCATGATTAATCGTATTTAGTAATATTTCAACACCATCATTTTCATAACCTAGTAAAAAATTACCTTCTTATATTTACAGATTTTAATGCTTCAGTTACCAAAAACAAGAATACGCCCTTTACACGTCTGCTCTTTCATAAAATTTATAAGCATGTTTTCTCAATAAAACTGGGCAAACCCAGCTCTGTATTTTATATAACCATACTATATGTAACTGGAAAAAGGTTCTTAGTGTAAGCCAACCACGTTTTTAACATATGGAAGAAAAGCTTCTTGGAAGTGTTGTTTTCAACTTTTTTTTTACCTCAATTCATGCTCCATATAAATAGATGGTATTGTCACTCGTCGAGAAATAAGATCTTTCTTTTATCTTCATTAAAATACTACATTGCATGACGTAAATTAATCAGTCAAAAATTAAAAATTAATGCATTTCATCTTATCTTTCTATCAACAGTTTGCAATAAGTGTTATTTTATACTATGAATGTAGTAATCAAAATAGGTTTTAAACAAAAAATTAGAAAATTGATTTAGAAATTTCGAAGTCAACGAAGAAATTTATAAACTAATATATGTAGAAACAGGATATCTGTAGACTTCTCTAACATACATTTGTGCTCTAACATACATATGTTACAACTGTTACAACTGTATGTTAGAGCATAACATCTGCTCTAACATACAGTTGTGCACCTCTCTTTTCGGTTGCAATCGGCTATACCAAACGTATATAAATATATATATATATATAGCGAGAGAGTAACAGAGTTGGGCATATATATATGTGCTCAACTTTGTTACTCGGCTCAATGAGCTCTGTTTTTTGTTCTTATATATTTGTAAATTATGCATTTTGTGCTTTAAAAATGATTGAATTGTGTTGTTCTTATCTTCCAGTTAAGGTTTTTATGCCTTCAGTCAATCTGCTTTCGATATTTGTAGAATTATCAACAATGTAAAACTTGTTTAATTGATACTAAGCCTAATTTTTTATTACCGTAGCAGCCATATTTGTTTACATTTGAAGAAGAATAGTGAATTAATTCTTTCTGCACCTTAAGTGCCTTTTTGACGAGTGGGAGCAAAAGGAAACTTTTAGTTTCGTGCACCGAAAAATCTGCCTTCTTGCTTGCTGGCCGAATTGCTTGTTTTTGCGTAGAAACTGTAATTTTAATTGTGAAATTTTTTAAAATTATTTTACTATATTTTGTGTTTTGTATTTTTCTGTAGCTTTCAATTTTTATTGAAAATATTTTGAGTTTTTATGTATTTTTGCCCTTCCGCGAACTGAATTAATTGAATGAGAAATATATCTCTAATGAAACTGGAGGAAAAATGTTTAAATGAAATGCAGCAAAAAAAATGCGTATAATTTAAATTGCCTACAAGGAAGTCATATGGTGTACAAATCAGACTTTTGTTTTTTAAAAAAAGAGATAAATATTTCTGTAATTTTTCCATATATTTAGTATATTTTTGCCTTTTTAAAATATTTTGATAGTTAACTCTTCTTTGAGATGATTCTTGTTAGACAGAAAATAATTTCCCTATCTGTAATCTGAAGTTTTAAGACAGCAAATTTTATCTCTCCTCCTTTATATGTTTGTAATAAATGCAATGGAAGAAGATGACCTTTGCATCCGTCGTGCTTTATCTTTTCTCAAACTTGAAAGGTTCTACGAATATAATAGATATCCACATTCAACAGTTCTCAACAAATAAAATAATTACATTTCTTTTTTTGTGTCTAAAAGTTAATAGTGGCGTATAATCATCTTTTTCCATCTGTATTTTTGTCTTAGGAGACTTGAAGGAGCTCAGAGTTGCAGGGAATGCAAACTGAAATTTCTACACGTATACTTTAAATATTAGCAGTTCTTTCTACTATAATGCTCTTCTCAATAAAATATGTTCTGGTTGAATTTATACTTTAAATACGTAAAAGCAAGAAACATTAGTCTACTATGTTTATAACTGTAGTATTATTACGTTATTTTCAATCTTGCGATTTTAAGCAAAGAAACCTACAACAGAATCAAACTTATTTCAGACTCAGACAAACTCCTTTCAGACCTTGATTTTCAGGAGAAAGCATTGCCTACAAAAACAAATTTAACTGCTTAAAACCAATTAAACGGAAGCAAAATAAAGAAGCCATTTGCTTAGTCGTTATGACTTTGAAACACCTGATACCCCTGAAA